AACCACTTGGAGGATCATGGGTAGTTATAAGCAAGGTTATAAGTAGGGTAGCTATACTTAGAACCCATGTTAGGGACTTATAACCCCGCTTATAACTACCCATGAACCTCCAAGCACGGCTTAATGCTTAGAGTTTAGGCTTTAGGGTTTTGTTTTCGGCTGTAGAGTCTAGGCTGTAGCGCCCATCTTTAACTCCTTAGCCCTCAACCTTACGCCCTTCTCTTGAAAGCCGGAAGCCCTAAACCCTACACCCTAAACACCTAAACCCTAGCCCCTAAACCTCCACACCCTTAAACCCTAAACCCCTAAACCCTAAACTCTAACCCCCTAAACCCCTAAACCCTAAACCCCTAAACCCTAAATCGTCTGCCCCTTAAACCCTTTGTTGAAGCATGAAGGACTCCTGAGAGAAGGCCACTGCACTAAGACAAACGAAGCTCTAACCTCTATGCCCTAACCCAGATTTCCGGGAGGATCCAGAAAGTAGATCCCTTAATGGGGGGGTTCCTATAAAGTACCCTTAGTAGTATAGGGCCCCAAGTTAGGGCAGTTAGGGGATCTACTTTCTAGATCCTCCCGGGGGTTGGGAGACACTAAACCCGAAGCCTTAAACCCAATGCTCTAAGCCCTAAGGCTTAAGCCCGAAGCCAACAACAGCAACGAACCCTAAACCCTAAACCCTAAACCCTAAACCCTAAACCCAAACTCCCAGGTCAGAAGACATCCTGCAAGTTCAAGCTTTGGTTGGAGGCGCCATGCGAGCTCCGAAGCCCTAAAGCCTCAGGTTATTGGGTTTAGGGACCCCGAAGCCCTCACGCTTGCTACTTAGGGTTTTGGGTTTAGGGTTTAAAAGGGGGTTAGGGTTTAGGGGTTTAGGGGTTCCTTTAAGGGATCTATGGGGGTTCCTTTAAGGGATCTATGGGGTTTAGGGTTTAGGGGTTTAGGGGTTTAGGGGTTCAGGGTTGAGGGTTTAGGAGCTTTCGGTGCGCTCCGGTGCTCCCTCTACTGGGGTATAGGGCTTATGAGTTTAGTGTAGAGGGTTTAGGGTGCGATGCAACAGACTCCCCGGACTTCTCTGTTTTGGGGGAGCATGCAGTAGGTCCCAGTACATGCTCCTATTCTTGTATGCCTTAGGGTTTGGCTTTTTTTTAATTAGAGCTTCGGGCTTGAGGACTTAAGAATTCAAACAGGGCTCCTTCCTTGCCGGCGGTTCCTTCAAAGGTTTTTGGCGGGTTGCTAAACGTGTTTTGTTTTCGAACAATGTTAGCGGGCATGTTATGCCATACGTAGGTGCATAGGGACGATAAGGTTATAGTAGTACCGAACCCAGAACAAATAAGCCTCATACAAGCCGGCAAAATTCCGTAAAACGCTTTGTACACCCCTTATCAAACCAATGCTGTACACGAAATCTCCTAAAAAAAACCTGAACCCTCAAACCAAGACTAAACGAAACCTACCCAGAAAGATCCTCAAAACCCACAGCCTCCATTCGCCTTAAGGCATCCTCAGCAGGTTACAGGGCTCTCGAGGTTGTTCAAGGATTTTGGGAAATGTCACGTGGGTGGTTGTAAAACCTGGGCAAACTATAGGGTTAGCAGTACTACCTCGTGGTCATTTTCACCACCACCACCACCATCATTATCATCATCGCTATCATCTTCATCGTCATCGTCATTTGGTACTATGCGCATTCATTTAGAGAGTAGACCCTGAACCCTAAACCCCGAAAGAACCCCTAAAGGAACCCTAAACCCTAGACCCTACAGAACCCTTAAAAGACCCCTAAACCCTAGACCCAACAGAACCCTTAAGGAACCAAGAGGAGAGATAGGAAGTCTTGTGGTGCGGAAGACCCAAGCTTTCCGAGCCTAAGACCGGCCCAGGGTGAACAGGATGGTGGCCTGGAAAGCAGAAGTCCGTTTTTTTTGTTGGTTTCCTGATTTTTTAGGGTTTTTTTTTCGGGTTTTTAGGAGCTTGAGGTTTAGGGTTTTGGGGGTAGGGTTTTAGGAGCTTAGTTTTAGGAGCTTAAAGGTTTCAGGCTTGTTGAGATCTCATTGCTTAACGGCGAGGGTTGAAGGTTCAGGGTAGTTGGAGGCTTCCCATCAGCCAGATGCAGCGATGCTGGCTCAGTAGCAGATACGGGAGTTTCCGGAAATTCCTTATAAGGAGGATCCTACTATTTAGGGTTCAGTAGCAAGACATTCATGTCGGCTTGGGGTGTCTTTAATTCGGGGGCGAGGTCAGGTGTATGGGCGACTTCAAGGAGTGGCAGGGTTGTCAAGGAGTGTTACTGCTACTGCTACTGCTACACTAAGTAGGGCTTAGGGTTTAGGGTTTAGGATTTAGGGTTTAGGGTCTAGAGGCGTCTCGGCTCGAGCCGTGTTTGGTGCTGTGTTCCCCTCTAGGGGTTTCGGTACCTCACGGTATACCAGACCCCAGCGCTCCGCGCGATTGTGGCACTTTCCCTTGGTGGAGGCCACTGGAACTCCTGAGTTCTCTGAGCTTTTGCTCCTGTGGGTATTCCTTACGCTGCCATTCGATTGGCCGTCAGGCACTACCCACACCTGGACTTTCCCAGGTGCATGACCGCTCCAAGGCGGTACGGCCCTCTGTTTCCGCTAGCTGCCCTTGGCATCTGGTTGCTTATTTGGGGTCAGCACGGGCAAGAGAGTGCTTCGTGCATCAAGCCCTCCGTGGCACAGGCGTGCCCGAAGGCAGCGAGCCTTCGCGAGGAAGAGGCTGCGCAGCGGCTCTTTCCTGGCCAGAGACATACGTCTTCTTCTTCATCATCACGGAAGTATGCCTCCGAAGAACCCTGGCCAGTCAGCCGCTTCACAGCCAGCAGGAGCCAAAGGCAAAAGCAAGGGAGATGCCCAGCAGGTTACCAAGGTGGAGTTCGGCCTTCCCCAAGGTGTGGTCTCGGCTCTGCAATCTATCCAGAACAGGTCAACGCAGGACCTGTGGGGTCCTGCAGCAGTGCTGGAGTCTCAAGCCACAGCGGAACAGAGATTCCAGCGCCGTTCCAACGCTGCGAATCGTCTATCCAAGCGCCTATCCGGCAACATGCGTGCAAAAGAGGAGCTGGCGACAGCGCTACAGCAGTGGTTTATGCTTGTGAGCCAACGCCTGGTCGGGCTTATTACCCAAGTCAGGGCGCTGGGCAGCAAGCTGGACGAGGACACCACTGCGGCGGCTGCCGAGATGAGGGACATTTTGGCAACACAGCCTTCGGAGCTCACCACGGCGCAGGTTGCCAAGGCGGAGGAGACCATGGGCCCTATTTGGTCTCCTTCGCAGGAACATGTGGTGATGCAGTTGGCTGCAGGCCTCAAGGCTTTTGGAACAGTGCTGCCGGCACCCTTGCCCGCAGAGCCTGGATTGCACGCCCTCCTCGCCATGGAACCTCCGCAGCTATCCTCCGGCTCTGTCCTAGCGCAAGACGGTGCCTCCGATGTCAGTTTTGGTCAAACTGGACTTCGCGACCTGCCTGGGATGACCCTGACCTCGGCCCCTCTTGCAAACAGAGGTGCAGCGGTGGGTGTCGAGCTACCCCGGGCAGCTCCCGTCATGGGGCAGACCGACTCCTTGAGCTTTGGGTCCATTGCTCCGACCGCGGCACCTGGGCGATGGCGGAAGCGCAGTGCAGGCCATTCCGAAGAGCCCCAGGAGAGATCATGTGGAACCACCTTGGACAAGAGAAGCGACGGGCCGTACGCCCGACTCTGTGCAACGTGCCCCGCAAGTGGCTGTGGTCGACGATGGTCCTCCCAGACCCCACCTCCACCAGCATGAGCCCTTGGACGGGGGCGTGGCTTGCAATGCTCCGTTTCTGCACCGAGAACGGAGCGGACCTGATTGGCGAAGTGAGGCAATGCTCACGTCAAGATGCAGCCCTGCCACTCACTGTGGATGCGCAGGCCCAGGAGGTTGTGGCGCTTGCTGACGAAGCCGTCTGGGAAGGCCTGATGCGTGCGGTAGCCGAGCCGGAGCTGGCCCATCTCCAGTCCCTTCACCGAGATCTGCGAGAGGTCCTACAGCAGCTTTGGTTGTGTTCCAATGCCCTCCCGTCTGCCAGGCAGGGACTCCTTGTGGCTGCTCACTTGACTACGGGAAGGATTGTGGACCCGTTCTCGTATGCGCCCTCTACAGCACAGGAGTGGCTCTTCCCGGACCTACTTCTCGAGGCCGACGTCCCGATCCGTGGCTTTATTGCGAGAGACGCGTCACAGGACCCCAGAGTGCAAGTGCTGCTCCGGATGCCATCGCCCTTCCTCCGAGTGACCGACTCCGCGGACCCAAAGGAGCTAGAGTGAATCGGCGGGAACAACAGCCGCTCTGCAATGGCCTCGACCTTGTAGCAGTTTGCCCTGCTGATCGTGTTCAAATAGGGTGTGTTTATTCACACCTTATTTTGATCACGGCCAGCCTTTTCCTCGGGCGCTGCATCATAGTGTACATCGCCATACGTAGAGTCTCGGCTGTCACTGAAAGGTTCTTTTCGGCCTACGGTCCCAGATTGTCCTGGCAACGTTCATGGCAGCTCGGTTGCACCCTTTCTGCCTCTGCGTGGTGGGCTGCGGCAACTGTGTGCCCGCCCTTTGCCATGATGATGTGTGCCGGCATCAGCGAGCTCCTTGCCTTCCTTCCAGGATGGGGTATGGACTTTTACCCCCAAGCCCTCCTCGCCCTGTCTTGGGCACTGCATCAATGGCGCTGTGCTTATGGGTTAATCCTGCCCTCGGCCTGGGTCACTCGCCTCAGGGCTGCTGTGTTTGGAGTGCCTAGCGTGGCGTGCGGTGTTGGGGTCCTTTCTGCGGGTCTTAAGATTCAAGGAGCTAGACACCGTACCAAAGTGCGTCCGTGTCGGAATAGTGGGCCCTGCCTGAGGATGACGCTTCTTCTGCTCTACCTTTCAGTTGCTGATGGCGCCACTCTCCACCTCGGCGCGGCGGTTGTCTCTTCTTGGTGGCTGAGATCTCCCACTGCTGTGCAACTACATGCCCACGGCTTCCATGAGGGCCTCCCTGTCCTCAGTACGGGCCGGTTCTGCCCACTCCTACTGCCGAGGAAATACGGGTAACTTGCTTCTCCCACGCACCGACCGCAGCCGTCGGCACCTTGCTGCTTTTGTGGGCACACCGCCTGGGGCTCCCATTCTCGAACCGTGCCCCGTCCCTTTCTTGGTTGACGAATGGCTGCATGGGCCGCTCTTGCATGCTCGGCTTGCCGCCACCTTGGGCTTCCCTGCCGGTGTCTTCTCTGTCTCAGCCATCCGTGGGGTCCTTCCCGGCCTGCCAAGTGAGCAGCTCCTTCTCACTCCGGCTACCTGTTCATGGCGTCAAGTCTGGCTGCCGGTTGACCTTCGGCCGCTGGGAGGCCGCATCTGCATGCTTATGTGCCCCCGTGACTCTACATGCAGGGCCATTGCGGTCCTCGCTCTCGCCGCTCAGACGCTGCAGACTGAGGTTGACCTTCTGCTTGCTAAGTGCTCCTGGGGATGGTTGACGCTTATGTCCCAGCCCCTCCTTTTGCAGGACGTCGACACTCTGCAATTCCAGATTGGCCCAGCTGCGGATGCGTTGCAAGGACCTGTCGGTTCCTCCTTGGACCCGCCCCTTTCGTTGTTCTCGGCCATGCAGGTGAGCCTCCCGACGGCACCCTCAGCCCACGAAGCCTTCCCGGGTCACTCACATAACCAAGCTGTTCTCATCACCCCTAATGGACTGGTCTATGTCGAAGCCCCCGTGTTTGCTGACGCAGCCACGTTTCGGCGTATTGTGTCTACTAGGGCGTCTCCCAGTGCCTCTGGGGGGGTTCTCCGCATTTGGCATCCGCTCCCTTCACTACCCCTTGTGCAGTTCATGGAGGTACACTGTACTAGTGATGAGGTGCCCTGCATTCTTGATTTTCGTCCAGTTGGTTGGAGGCTGACTACTGTTTGCGTTCCTCCTCCTGTTACTGCTCTCGCGGCTGTTACGGCTGCTTCCCGACGGGACCGCAGCAGCCTTCCCCTCGAGTGGGTCGAACAGTGCGCTCGAGGCGGGTTCGGCATCCTCCATAGAGAGCTTGCGGTATTACCAGCCCAGGTCCTCACCAGCAGTGTCCCGATTGTTGTCATGTTCTTCCCACATGTCTTCCGTCAAGATTCCTCCTCCTCCTCGGAGGACCAGGTAGGTGGCTGGGACACCCCGGGTACTTCTGACACTATTTCGGCGTTGCAGCACACCCTGTTGCCCTCCCCTGCTAGGGCTTCCACGTCTACCGCCTTGCCCGCATGTACTGGAGTCACCCCGTCTGAGTTTCTCAATACCTCCCCTCCCAGTGCCAGGGAGCCGGCTGCCGAGCCTGACTCTGCTTCCTCATCGGCCGTTAGCCAACTCAGCGGCACGCGGGGTATTCTCTTGACGGCTTGTGTGCTGCGTGGGCTGCATCATGACATCGGGGGACTCCTTGCCTGGGGTGCGTGCCTCGTCATCTCCTGTGGGATGCCTGGTAATGCCGTCCAGATGCACAGTGCACCTGCCACTCCGAGGGATGTTGTGGTTTCAGCTAGCAGGGCTCCCGACCGTCAGGTGGCAGCCCCAGCCGGTGCCCACACGCATTTACAGGCCAGGTGGCTTCAGGTTGGCGACTTTGGCGATGGGCCGCTTTGGTCAGCTCTTCCCTCCGCCAGTGAGGTGTTCCTCATCACCTGCCGCCTTTGGTGGCCCGGATCTTCGGTCCGCCTTGAGTTTTCCAACACTGATAGTGCTCGCGACGCTGCAGCCGAGCTATACCGTCAGGCCATCCGACTTGGTCGCCCCCAGATTGTTGCTGCTTCTTCAGGCCCTACCTTAGAGGCGGTTAACCTTGTTTCTCTTCCGCCTCGCCCTGAGACCCTAACTGTTCTTCTTGATCTAGGTAGGGAGGTTGTCTGTGTTGAACTGCCAAAGGACTACAGTGCTGATCATGTTATTGCGGCTGCGCAGACCGCGGCTGCTTCGGCTGACGTCCAGATCCTTCGGGGCACTGCCCATCGGCTTCGCCAAGGTGACGTGGTAAGAGTGCTTGTCAGCGCAGAGGCGCGCACCCTAGACTTTTCAGCCTTTGTTCTTCCACATCATGCTGGCACTGCCTCGCGCTGGCTTCAGGAAGGTCGGATCGTGTCGCTGCTCCACCCTGTCGCAGGTGTGTTATCCTTCGAGGTCCCGCGTGCATGCGACCTTGATGCTTCTGTGCTGGGTGCGCTGCTGCGCAGCGTTACCCCAGGCCAGCATGTCTTCGTTGAGCTGCCCGGAGCTGACCTTCTCCCTCATGCCGCCTTCGTTGCTGCCTTCCCTGGCCAGGATTGTGTCACCTATCGGTTGACAGATGCGTCCGACCCCTCCGCTGTGGGTCTACACTTGGCCTTCTCTGGAGTCTTTGAGTCTTTCCCGGCCTTCCTGGAAAGCCTTCTCCGCAGCAACCGTCCCGCCGCGGCTCTGCTTCGGAGGTTGCAGCCCTTCGGCCTTTCTGTTCTAACCTGGGAATGCACTTCCTTTCCTGGTCGGGCTGACTGTCGGTACTGGCATGTTCACGTGCAGGCTGACTTCGCACGGGCCCGGGAGCACCTTTTGAGCATCAGCTGGGAGCCGAGACTTGTTCGCACGCCTCCGCCCCTTCCTCCCCCTAGGACTCGGGTTTTCCATAGCATAGGTTCCCAAACTAATGCCCCCTTCATCTCTGCCAGCACGCCGGCTGCTGTACTCCAGGCACCTCCGTCTATTTGCGGTGCCGGCGTTACACCCGACTCTGCGTCCGAACTCGTGGACCTCTGGTGCGATGCATGGCACGTCAAGTGTTTGGTTGCCTGTTTGCCTGGATTCACTGTATGGGCTCTTCGAGAAGGGAGCCGACTCTACGGCATGTGCACCCCTGCCCCCTCCTGGGAAGCCGTCGCACAGGCCCTATCCCTGTCCCTCTGGGAGCTCCCACAGACGTTTCTGTCCAGCGACAGCCGTGTTTGGCCGTTCCCACGTGACCTCACAGGTGTCGCGATGCAGTGTGTCAGCGTCGGGTACGACTCTCCCGAAGGGGTTTCCCAATTGGTGCGCAACTGCGAGGCCGACGCCTAGCCCGCCACCGCCTCCGAGCCCTTTAGCCTCTGCTGCTTTTGGTCTGCCCTGCTTGCGGCGTCACCCGCTCATGTGTGCTCTCAATCTCCTTCTCCCTGTTGTGTCAGTCCGCGTGACGGTTGAGCCTGCTCCCTTAATCTCTCAATTTGCGGAGTCCGAGACACTGAGAACCCGTCGCGATTTCTCGCGGCCCTGCACCATGTCTTGGACTCACGAGCTTGCCCGACAGACGCACGGGTTCGCCCTTTCTGCACCTCAACTCGGCGCGTATGTTACTGGCGCCTCACCCCAATCGGAAGTGCAGATGCACCTTTGGCTTCCTGGGCAAGGCCCCGTCCACCTGAGGGTTGGTGCACGCCACCTCGACCAGCATCTTAGTGCTTACCTAGGAGCCTTCTTGCCAGACTGCGAGTACGGATTGCACGTGGCTTTCGATTCCAGCCCTCAAGTGCTCGATCTCCTCGTCTCCCCGCCTTCACCATATGGCTGGTGGATACTTCGTGACTCAATTGGTTGCGAGCTTCTCCGGCCGGTGGTCCAGCACTACACCTCCCAATGCACCTTTTTCTTCTGCGCTGTGGAGCCGGATGGGGTTGTCCACAACGTTGAGCCCTCTGCCGAAGTGCGCCATATGTCACCCTGCCCGCAAGGGGCCCGGGCGCTTATTACTAGAGTTCTTCCGGGATTAGAGGGTAGACTTGTTGATGGAGTTCTTCAGATTGTCGCAGCCCGGGCCCGGCCCCCCTCGCTTCTCGGCAGTCTAGCGTTACTCATGCTCTGCCGCCACGTGGCCTCTATGCAACCTCCTCAACTCCTTGCTCTTGCCCCAGTCGCCGAGGCTCCGCCGCCTCCTCCGACGACCATTCGCATCTGGACTCTCAACATTAACGCTCCTGTTGACTTGCCGTGGCGCCCTCAGGGTTATCCGACCCGGTGGTTGAGGGAGCTGATGTGTCGTCTGCACCATATTGACGATCCCGGCGAGTTTCGGCCCACACATTCCACTACGGACAGCTCCGTTCAGCATGTCCTGTTCGTGCCGGTCGTTCCTGCCACTCGACCCACGGTCCGGTTTTGGCTGCTCCACTGGGGGGACGCTGCTGCTGTTACTTTCGGGCACTCGCCTTTCAGTTGGGATGTCGTTTCTGCCCATCTCAGAGCTCTCTTCCCGGGGGGCCATCTACCAGAGCGGAGCCCCGCTCTCTCCTACGCCGGTCAGTTGTACCCGCCAGGGGCTGCCTTGCCTGATTTTCCATCAGGAGCTGTCATTCAGATTTTGATTGCCTGGACAGCCCTACGTCGGTTAATAACCGATGGGACATTGTGCAACGCGTTACGTCGGTTAATTAACCGCTGGGACGTGGTATTAACCGCTGGGATGCTAAATTAACCGCTGGGATATCAAATAACCGCTGGGATGTGGAATTAACCGCTGGGATTTTGAATTAACCGCTGGGATTAACCGCTGGGGCAATTAACCGCTGGGATTAACCGCTGGGAGAAATAACCGCTGGGATTAACCGCTGGGATTAACCGCTGGGAGAAATAACTGCTGGGATTAACCGCTGGGACAGTATACGCTGGGAGTAACTGATCGAGAAGCCCTATATATAGCCGAGCCGAGCTCCGAAAGCCAGGGCAGGTTTGGCAGCATTGAGCGCCGCCTGCCAGAATAGCCTCGGGACCCCATCGTAGACTGCGGAAGCTGAAGCCCGGAAGCACCGAGAGCCTCCCAAGCACCGAGAGCCTTAGCACCGAGAGCCTTAGCACCGAAAGCCTTAGCACCGAAAGCCCTAGCACCGAGAGCCTTGGCACCGAGAGCCTTAAGCACCGAGAGCCCTAGCACCGAGAGCCTTAGCACCGAGAGCCTTAGCACCGAGAGCCTTAGCACCGAGAGCCCTATAGCACCGAGAGCCTTAGCACCGAGAGCCTTAGCACCGAGAGCCTCCGAAGCCTTGTGTTGCGAGTGCTTGGCTTGGGTCGGTTGAGTGTTGCAGCGTGTACGTCTTGCGCGTGTGGCTGGTCAGAGTGCACGAGTGTACAGCTAATTAACCGCTTGTTTTCAGTCGGTCGGTCGGTTGGTTGATTGCTTGAAGGCTTGCTAACTAGCCGCTTGTTTTCAGTCGGTCGGTCGGTTGGTTGATTGCTTGAAGGCTTGCTGTACAGCTTGTTCGCTTGGTCGGTTGTTGTGCTTGCATGCTTGGTTGCGACTCATGGCTTGGCGTGCTTGCTCGTTTGGTCGATCGGGTGCCTAGTTGCTTTGATTGGCCTGGCTTGTTGGTTGTGCGAAGCTGCATATAGATCATTTGAAGCCGTAGGTCTGTCGAGTCTGTACAGAAGTCCCGCAATATGCCGCAGCTGCGAAGAGCATTGAAGGCCGTAGGCACTCTGCCTCGCTAAATCCCACCCGTGCGTATCTCAGAGCGTGGGAGAATAAGTCAGATGTGGCTTAATTCCTGGAGCATTCTACTCTAGGCCTCAAGATGGGCGAACAATCCGCGGCGGTCCCAGAGCTGACTGGTGAGGAGGTCAGTGATCATTCCTGGAGTACCGACACACTGAGTGTGGTGGGTAGGCATGCGCACAGCATGCAGCTTCAAATCTTCAGGATCTCCTTGCGCACCAATTGGCTTTTGAACTCAGTGATGGATCGTCTATCGGTTTTGGAGGATCAGGTGCTGCTCTCCAGGAGCTTCAATTGTTGGAAATCTGCCAGCGCCGTTCATGCAAGCGCTCGGCCTGGAGGTGTACATGACTTGTTGGAATCCAGTAGGGGAAGTGCGACATTGGTTTGCCTGTGCACTTCAGGTTGGTTGCAAACATGCTTGACCAAAGATTGATTTTGTGCTTGTTTGCCCGAAGGCATTTGTCGTAATCGCTCTAAAGTCTAGAGTCTGCCTCGGCAGCCTAGATCAAAGGCACTGCTGGAATACACCTGTGTACAAATATTCCACAGCAGATATTCACGGTAGTTATACCATGCAATTGCCTCGCCCATAGTGCTCGATCGAGGGCCTTAAGGCATGGCATCATCGACGACCTCCATCGCGAGTGCGTGCCACCCTGGGCTCCCGGATCTTCTTTATTCCTTGCTTCACACCTGGCCGGTCGCAGGTACTTGATCCATCGTCATCGAGATCATCGACTGTGAGGAAGAAGGACCGAGCTTGTGCTTATGGCTTGCATTCAATGCATGGTCGGTTGGTCGGTTGTGCAAGCTTGCTTGACGATGCGCATAGCGGGCTCCATGGCAGAGGAGCCATTCCATGTGCATCATGTACAAGCATAGGCATGCTCCAGGCAGCACCAAAACAATCAATAGGAAGCATTCATGCTTCCCATTGAGAACCGCCGCGGGTGCAGGGCTTTGCCTGCACCTGCTGATGGAGCGCTGCCGCTGGCGCCGTCGCCGCCTGATGGAGCGCTGCCGCTGCCGCCGTCGCCGCCTGCCCTAACGCCTCCATCACTGACGGGCGCGGCTCGACTGCCCTTAATTCCGAAAAACCCTAAACCCGAAAACCCTCAAACCCTAAACCCGAAACCATACGGTTCGAGTGCTGTCAGGTTTGGCAGATGCAACATGGAAGATGGATTGAGGTCGGCCACGGCCGGTGCCTTTGCGAAATTAAATTAACCTGAAACCCCTTATATCCATACTTGCCGAACCCAAGGACGCTGGGCATGGCAGTGGGTGGACGAGGAGCCTTTGGCACTGGGCAGTGCCTTTGCGAAAATTGCGAGCGTAAACCCTTCAGCCATAATGCGATCACCCGCCCAGGACAACATCCTCCATGGGTTCCTCGGGACAAAGCACTGGGCAGTGCTTTGGCGAAGTTCTTGATATTGCACGCCCTAACCAAGCGTTAATGCCCGACACTAAGGACAACATCCTCCCTGGGTTCCGTGGGCCCCGGAGTCATGGTGCCGTGCCTCTGCGAAATTAAATTAATTAACTTGAAACCCCTTATAACCATACTTGCCGAACCCAAGGACGCTGGGCATGGCAAGGGGTGGACGAGGAGCCTATGGCACTGGGCAGTGCCTTTGCGAAAATTGCGAGCGTAAACCCTTCAGCCATAATGCGATCACCCGCCCAGGACAACATCCTCCATGGGTTCATCGGGACAAAGCAATGGGCAGTGCTTTGGCGAAGTTCTTGATATTGCACGCCTTAACCAAGCGTTAATGCCCGACACTAAGGACAACATCCTCCCGGGGTTCCGTGGGCTTCGGAGTCATGGCGCCGTGCCTCTGCGAAATTAGCGAACTTCATGCATAGCCTCTTTCTGTCCCCATACTTCCTCGCCTAAAACAATCAGCCCAGTTCAAATTCTCCATCATCGATCATGTGGCCCTACACGTGCCTGGGCTTTAAACTGCGGTCTGAGATCATTTCTCTCTCTCTCTCTCTCTCTCTCTCTCTCTCTCTCTCTCTCTCTCTCTCTCTCTGCAAAACCGAGGGGACCAAACCGCTACGTTCCGCCGGGGGGTGAAACTCCGCCTGAAGCATTCATGCTTCTTGGCAAAACCTAGCTCAAAACACCATAACCCTAAAACCGTTAAAGCCACCTAAGGCCCATGACGCCGCCCTGGTCGATGATGAATGTCACGTCGCTTGGCTCTGTCTCGTTCTCTCTACGTGCCCCGGGCCTTCAACCCTAAGGAGTCCGGCCCAGCCAACGACACCACCGCCCGAAGCTTTCTTTCGGCTTCTTGGCAAAACCTAGCTCAAAACACCAGCTCCCTAGCTAAAACCGTTAAAAAAAACCACCTAAGTCCTGTAAACATGATCGATCGACCCCCTTCAGGATGTCGCAGACAATGATGCGGCCGAGACCGGCAGCGATGTGCCTGGGCTTCTGTTTTCTCCTCGGTGAGAGCTCATTGAAATTTATCACTCGCTTTCCTGATCTATCTCTCTCTCTCTCTCTCTCTCTCTCTCTCTCTCTCTCTCTCTCTCTCTCTCTCTCTCTCTCTCTCTCTCTCTCTCTCTCTCTCTC